TGTAAGGGGGCACACATATGGAAAAGGGAGGATGATGGCCTATTAGTTGATCAAAATTACCCAGAAGTCTTGACGCTGCTACGTTGTTGCTCAGGGTCCGTTGGTGAGGTGGACTTTTTGTCGGTACTGACAGCAGACTGTGTTTTCTTCTGCAAGCGTCGCCGATTTTTGCTCGACTTTGACCGAACCTCAGTAAACCCATCATTGGAAGAATCAGTATTCGTGCCTGCAGAGGCCGTGTCTCCATCCTGTTCAGGCGAATAGACGGCTTGGGAGTCGCCCTCGATGGGATTGCTTGCCAGCGGACTATCGTCTGACGGAGAATCGAGGAAACTTGGATTGTTGCAAAATGACGGCGGCGCTTCAGCGTTGATTGACATGAGCGGCACGATTACCGAAGCACCATTAAGGGACGAAGGGCCTCGATTGCGGTTCTCGAAGCGTGGTCTGCCGTATCGGTCCGCCCGGCCTCTTCGGTCTGTGTAACTGTTGCCTGGTGGAGTTAAAAGTTAGACATAACCAAAACACGCTACTAGGATACACGTAGGCCTTAAAAAGAGACTTCACGACTGTCAGCCTCCACCTGAGCTACATGAATTCTGACCATTATCATTGCCTACGTGGTCTATGGCTATACAAACTAATATTGCAGAGGCGCCTACAGTAACGCTTGCCTTTCAACTTAGTGTCGACGTCCAAACCCTTACGGTCATGCTTTCCTCGAATAGACAGTATTATACTAGACAGGGCAAGCATACTCCAGAAGGCAGCCTGCGCTTTCTGATTTAAGGAAGTACGAAGTGAGACGAAAAGAACAGTGGTTTTGCAATGACAAAGGCAGGCAGCGGGAAGGCTTGATTTGAAACGGCTCAGGTAATCAAAGCATACTAGAAACCCGCAATTACGATCACGACGATCAACCCATCTGCTGGCCACCTGTTTTACCCGTAAGTCGGAGATCTGTTAGAAGTACTAAAGTAACAATAGTTTCCACTCACCCCCACCGTCACTATCCCCTTCGCGAAGTCCAAGCTGGGGGAAGTGCTTATTTATGGGCTCATCGCCCGAGGAACAACAGCGTCTACAAGAACCAACGACGCACGGATCCTTGCAAGCTTTCTCCAACGTGCATTTCTCATCAGGCGAGGAAACCAGTACGCTCGAATGTGTTGCAGTCTGTCTTGGTGGAATTTCGTTGGAAGTGTTTGTACGACGGACCATGATTAGATTTTCATCATGTTGGCCAGACGACGCAGTTTCAAGGCTAGGTGTGCATTCTTGAAAGGAACTTGTAGAAGTCTGCGATTCGCCTAAGATCGACGAACTGAACCCCCATGTGACGGAGGCACCCTCGGAAGCGGTCTCCCAAACTTCAAGGTCATTTGCATCACTCGGGACTAAAAGAGGAACACGCATGTGGC